ACAAAAAAGCAAAACAATGATTAAAACAACTGACGCTGGCGGAGACTATACCTTGCAATTACAACGTACTCTAACCGGGGGGAAATCCTCCCTCCCTAATTTAACAATTAATCGTAACTATCATGTCGGCTCCTTAATGTGAGAAAGCAAACGTCAGAAAATTTTAATTTCAATCGCACAATATGCTTACATGCGGTAATGACAAGATATGGTTCATTTCATTTTGGATACACAGACGATTGTGAGGAATGTAATTTGGGAATTTGAAGTTTCTTCTTTGATTTGCAAACTTAAAATAAATAAAATAATTAAATCTCAATATCCTATATTACTGAGTAAGCATGGCCGACTTTTTCGGTTTTTGTGCAGATGATGCAAGTCCACCTATAAAATGTAAATGCATTTTTCCATTGCGATGTGCAACTAACGAGTAAAAAACCTAGTTATTTTGTTTTTGAAAACAGAGAAGATCGCAGATCGAATCCTTTTTGGCCGATTTGGCCTAATTCCAATAAAAACCTGCGTACAAGAACTTTCAATATTTCTGCAACATTTGAAACCGTTACTTTAACTTTTGCGACCAGGAAAATGTCTACCATAAGGTTTACACAAGCAGACGGACATACTCAACTCGATTTGGAACTTGCTGTTGATGAAGACTATGTACATTTTACGCACTCTGCGATCTCCCGCTGTTGTAAACGTTTTGACAATATGAATATATTTTTCGTCCTTGGGTGATGAGTGCAGAAATAATAATGATAATGAGAATCGTATAGAAGCGCAAAGAAAATGTTTTCTTTTCGAACTCGCGGCGAAGACTTTAAAATGAGAGCAAAAAGAAATTTGAACAAGCATCATCTATATTAAATTGATACCACCAAGCGAAATGCGTTTTGCATTAAAAATTACTTTATCGAATGTATTTTTTGATGTACATAAATTGAATAAAATAGCAAGAACAAAAATTTTGGAGATTGTTCTGATTTCGAAAATTTCGAGAAAAGTCAGACGCATTGACCAGGGGATAGGGCTAAGCCGCTACGATATGCTCTGATAAATTGACAATTTTTTGATAGTGACTGCAATTTATAATCTCGAAAAAGAATATCTTCGGAAATGATCTTGCGCGAGAGTCAAATCATACCAAATATTTGTACGCAGGAATTGCTCATGCACGAATGGTCAATTTGTATCAAGAATATTACGCTGATCAAATAATTTATGATCAAACTCATGCCTAATTTTACATGTTACAAACGAAGTGACGAATCATCTTTCAACGATGAATAAGTGATGGAAAAAGTGGTCTTGAGCTAATACAAAATGTTTAAAATTGGGTAGATTATTAAAAAATTTCCATACTTTTGAAGTGCAACAGTTTGGCATGCATTAGTTATTTTGTTAGTTCTTGGCTTGCGCTTTGCTTTTTAACTATTAACGACAGAATAAAAACATGAGTACGTATTCAAATGAAGTTCAAAATTGTCCCGTCAATAACTATTAAAACACGAATAATCCTGCTTCCTACCGTCGCCTCAAGTTGGAAGCTTAATAAATTTACCATATATGAATGAACAAAATTAAACGAATTGTTCTTCTTCTGTGACTCAACAAATGAACAACAGATGATTGACTTGCTTGAGTTGGTTTTTAAATTGTATAATTATTTACAGAGTGTTGCCAAATCAAAATGTAGAAAATATACGATATCGAAAACTTGGTGTACGAACTATACTAAACAAATTTAAATTAAATCTATCACACATCGTCCCCAAGTGTAGTACAGAAATATTTTTGATCAGCTTATTTTGATTTGCCCTCTGTTGAGAGTACGTTTGTCAGCATCTATAGATACGCCAAATATTTTTAACGTAAGACTCGGAACTGTAATGAATTTATAAACGGAAAATACTCGAAAAGTTCGTAAACCGATGACCATATGTAGAACAATTCCAGAAATCTTAAAACTCATTTCTGCAAAAACAACAACTTTAAATTTTAAATAGGAAAATTTTGTAAGTCACACAGTCACTAAATTCGTTTGAATCATTTTATCGTAAACCCATTGGGAAAGGTGCCGTTAAGAAGCTCTTGAATACTATTGTATCAATCCCACAAACATGCGAAAATGTAGTGAATTACAATAGCGAAGTAATGCTATGGCATGAAAATGTTCTTAATATTATGTGTTAATAAGCCTGTGCGTCTTTTTATACGAGAGAGTTTAACAGTAATGTATGTGGATCAAAATATCTTAAAACCTGCGATCCGTAGGTTGAGCACAAAAGTACAAAGAAAGACAGACGGGCGAGCCTTCAATCGATACATGTCAACGGTGAATATATCCCAAGTTCTTCCTGGATCTCGTACACATCCGCACAAACTTAATATACAAGTGGTATAGAGTATAAAATTCCATGGGTATTTATTCAATACATGCTTTTCTCAATCATAAATACTGATAGTTGGATTTTACCTTAATTTGTCTTTTGTTCCGCGTTTGTTACATTTTATTCGCGGACCTAGAATAGATTTTACTTGTCAACGATTTATTCTTTACGTTTTAAAAAGCATTGTCCAAGTAAGCAGGAAACTCGAGCTTAGCATTTCTTTTCATGAGTAAACTGAAATTTCGGTTTTGAAAGCTCAAAAAGCAAACGACACTTATTTTCTGTTAGCTAATTACTCAGTTAATTAATTGATATAAACTGGTCAAATATAACAATACAAGTATTAATCGGATTTTATAAAACGTCGTACTTTAGCCACAACATGTATTATTTAAAGACGTGCTCTCGAAATAGTCAAGAATTTACTGAAGCATAGAACAAGTTCGGGCAACTCTCACTTTTCATAACTTCTATGGCATAAAAAATAGCTCAACTGCAACCGCTTTTGTTAAACAACAGAGTTCTAAAAGGTCTACATGAGCATTTTCAGTGGATTTCTAGAAACCATTTATCTCTCTTTGCAAGAGATTGCTTAATTGCTTGCAAAAATGTATTTGGCCAAAGGAAACATATACCGGAGCACTGGGCCACTATCATTACCCAGGGTTTATCATTTGTCATTTTTGCTTCACGAATTTTTTCAACAGATAACACTTAATTTAGTTTTCGCTAGGAAATCCGTTGACATATAATTTTTTCATTATTATTCTGCTGAGAAATCTATAGAGAAATAAAAATTATAAAACTACCTAAGAAGTCTTTATTTTCGTAATATGATTTCGTCTTCGAAACCTTTTAAATTTCAATTCATAAAAACAAGAATTATTGTCACGTATAAACAAACGGTTGTTAATATATGTAGACAGAGATAAGCATAAGCGCACATACAAATGTGTTTTTGCTTTGCTATATTTAAAAAAAAAAAAACTTTTCAACGGTTATATATAATGACTACAAACGTAAAAAAAAATGTTTACTGTTCCTCATGGCTGCCGAAACGACCTTAGTCGTGTGCCTTAGTGGTATGCGCAATATTTTATTTGAAATTTGACAACATAGCCCTCAATTAAAATATATATAAAAATAATATTGTAAATAACTGAATTTCTTAAAAATATTGATAAATTTATTCTCTTTTTCGGAACACCAAACAGTTTATTATTAGTGATTGAAAAGCAACCTCACAAAAAAATTTTTGTTAATAAGAAAACTCACTTTTTACTTTGTAAACCCTTCAGTTTCTTTCTCTCGTTGTTGTTTTATAATTTAATTCGCTACGTCGTTTTATTGGAGTAAAACGTTTGATGTCTCTTTCTCACACGTAACTTGTAAATTTGTAACAATTCCCAGAGTTGTGTTAAGTAAAATAAGATGGCTAGTTTTCTTCTTTTTTTTTTTGCAATAGTAAAAGCTATAGTAGTTGCTGCTGTTGTTGCACTAATAATTGCGGTTGGATATCGTTTTTTTTAAGAGAAAAATAAAAAAAAAGAAATCGCACTTAAACACAGATACGTCACGTAGTTGGGAAATTTTTTGTATACAACAAAAAATTTTTTACGAAACTTAAGGGAATTTTCTATATTTATACAATTTTACAAAGTATTTTTGTTTTAGTTTTTTGTACGCTTACAGTGTGTGGCTTGACTTGATGTTTTAATTTGCAGTGTGGCTTAAAATTTGTCTCTTTAACGTTTGTCTATCACTTTTTCATACGGCACACGTATATATCGAATTAATTGATTTTTGCGATTTCCTTTAAGCAACGCGTACAAAATTATTCCACATTTCCGTACGTCACAAGAATTGTTTCCGTTTTTTTTTTAGTGGGAAACTAGCACTTTTTGTTCTTTTAACGGCCGACCTCGCTTAAGGTTACGAAGAGAATTATCACACTTTGAACTTTAGAGAAAAGCAAATAAAATGATTATGAGATATATATATATATATATAAATATATATACATATATTGGTTTTTACTTATTGTTGTTAGTTATAGTAATTGTTAACACATTAGGTTATGTCTGTCTTTAAGTTGTAGCTGTTACAAAATTTTTAAAAAATTTTACCGATTTCATTAATTTTCTAAGAAACGACATACAAGTTAAGCGATGATTAAGAGTTTTTTACGTTTTGTTGTCGTTGTTATAAAACTCTCAAACTGTCATTTCTCTTGCACCTTCGCATCATTTAAAGCATTGATTTTTTTCTCATCCGATGGGGGTTGGGTACCGATGTTAACGCTTCCGCATTTAAAACACGAGCAAAACCTTTATTTCTGATATCTTTCCAGAAAGCTTATGAAAACGTTAAAATATTTTTCGTGAAAATTTTTTTAACGTTTTTAGCGCCGCTTTTTCGTTCTGCCAAATGTTTGTTTTTTTTCTTTTTTCGTGTTTTTCCAATAATAAATTAATTTGCGTTTGATAGCTTCACTCGTTGTACTTTATATCAACTTAATTAAACATTTATTTATACATATAAATATGTAGAGATTAAAACTTTCTTTTTTTGATATATTAAATTTGATTTGTTATCACTTATTATAAATTATAATTAATTAATAATAATTATAACAGATAAATTACTATTTTGTATTCAATTTGAAACTTCAATTATTGAACATTTTTTTCTTATACTTTTCTGTCGCGTGTGTATTAGCGCATGGAACGCCTTCTCCGAACCTTATACCATGACTCTTGCGAATAAACTTAACAACTCACTAACTTGTACATGGTTTTATTATTAAATGAGCATATCCGCATAGTGTTGCCAAGCCATCACTTATACCTTTATTTATAAGCGTTACGACTGCCTTGTAGTGGGAATTGGAACGTTGAAGTGGAAATGGAATGTTACTTTGTAAATACTAACTAAAACAGTCAACAGAATGAATGCATTCGTATCGTGCATGTACACGTATGTCAAAATATGAATTGGCCCCCCATATTTACGTGTAGCTGAACATATAGGTTGGATTGCATTACTGCAGCAATGGAAGCAGATCAGAAATGCATCGTTGGCGGACAAGACAATGACTTTTACATAAACAAAATGAAATCATATCATTAAAATTTCAAACGTCGTATGATTTTAATGTGATGCTCTGTGATTGTTATCTTCGTCATATTGATTGAATTTTTACTTTTTGCAATTGATCTTTTTATGTTTTGTGAATGTTTTCCCACAATCCTTCTTATTTTATTTTATTGCATTCGTTCCAATACAATATTACTGAGTCTTTAGTAATTGTTAAATCCTGCATGAGAAATAACATTGTTTGCATTAACTCCAATAGCACTAGAGCCTTATTTTTCATTTCTTCCCGTGCTATTGAACATCAATATAAAAATATTTGGATATACCACTAATCTTGCAGTTTTAACGCGATGTCTTGGGATAAACCTTGATTACAAACACAACTTTGACCCCATGTCTTTGCTGAAGTTTTTTAACGCTCCAAAAACGTATATCTCTCATTAAAGGGCAATATAATAGTAAAGAGGCCATGGGCTCCTCATTACGCATGTCAATTATTGTATGCAAGTCTTTTCTGGATGCCCATGGTATAACTTAGACAGGCTTCAAACATTTGTTAACTATGTGGCAGGTTTTGTTTATAGAGTCAAACCATTTAGGTTGCTTATCTACTTCTACAAAAATATTAAAACCCGATCCTCAAGTCTTTTAAGTGAACGACTGCCGTTCTCTAGATCGAATAAAAACCCTTTCATATTAACACCATATTTGTTTAACTCATCAGCCGAAAGATCTTCTACTGTTCGTGCTGCTAGATATTGGAATGGCTTACCAATGAGTCTGAAATCCTTCCATATTCCTTTCATAATGTACATTTCGCTGTTTGCAGGAATTGACGACTGCGATGTTTATGGAGCAATATCATTGCATTAGCAATCATTTAGCAGACTTGTACACACAGATAAGTTAAGAGTCTCCTTTTGCACAAGAATCAAGTATCTATTTATTAAGTAATAAGCCTATAGCTTTATAGTTACTTGATAAATGAAAGAAATTATAATTTCCAAATCTTGGATGTAAAATTTAATAAGATTATGAAAATAGAGAATTTTTCAGTCAAATGGGCTATTTATTTTTATTGGATGCTTGCGTTAATTTTAGCCAGTGCCTTTTACATATAAAAATGATGAACTGATGGGAAACAGCAGTGTACACAAGGGTTAAAAACGATGATTTTGACCTTCGTCTACATAAAGTAACAGATTTCCATTTAATATCATTGAGTTATTCGGCGTATGCAGACGCTAATCATGGAGCGCACAAAATTACATTTTTAAACTTCAAAGCTTTGTTCTGTTTGCTTGCTCTATCATGTCCGAATTATTGGTTTTGATTTCAGCGATTTAAAAATGATGACTTTGAAGTCAATGACAAAGAACGGCCTGGACGACCAGAAAAGTTCGAAGACAATGAATTGCAAGATATATTGGCCGAAAATCCAGTTGAAGCTCTCAAAGCACTTTCGAACAGCTTAGCAGTTGATGAATCAATGGTTTCTAGAACTGTGCAAGCGACGGGAGAATCCAAAAGGAGTGAAAGTGGCTACCATTAGAATTGACTGCAAATGCCATTCCGAACCGTTTCAACGCCGCGATTTCATTGCTTGCTAGACGAAAAAAGAAGAGTTTTCTGTACCGTATTGTGACTGGCGATAAAAATATATGGGTATACTACCACAATCCCAAGCGCACAAAGTCACGGCCTAATACAGGAGTGCTATCTACATCGACACTGAAGCGGAATATTCAATGCCCCAAAGTCTTCCTGTGCATATGGTATCGTAGGATATACTGTTGCAGCTCGAATGAAAAGTCTTTACCCATATTAATGCAGCATGGCTTGGCTGGCACGGGGTTTCAACATGTTAAAGAAGTGCGAGAACGAGCCGTTGATTTCAGTTACTATTGCGAGTTCTACAAAAACGATGATATTTATGCAGGATTAATATTTCTTGGCTCTACAAAAATGTGTTTCTATCTTGCTCTTATTTTTTCATATAGATTACATGTTTCGTTCGCTATTTCTATCTATATCTATTTTTTGTTTACTAGCGGCAAATTGGTTTTATCCACACAGCAAAAAACTTGGAATAACTAAGAAATTTTTCACAACCAAAACAATTCTATAAACAATTAAATCAGTTGCATTTGTATTGCGGATTAAATTTGAACGCGACAAAAAAGCGATTACTATTGCAATTGTTAATTATGTGGCATTATAAATTTATAGTCTGGTATAACTGTTATTTTTGATATTCAACAGTGGAAATCAGTGATTTGCTGAATACTAAAAGAAAAAGCAGAGGAAAAAGAAGAAGAAAAAGAAAACTTGTTGTCTTATAACGGAAAACAATTTCAATAAATCTGACAATAATAAAAATATTAATAAAAACATATTTCAATCCAATTTCATAAAGTCGTCTTCTATTTTTCTTAACAATTTTTATTTGAAAGGCAAAAATCTAAGATTTTCTGTTTTTTTAGCGAGTTTTTCGAAAAATGTTTAACCTTAGGAGAGAAGATGTAGAGCGCCATCTTTTTATAATCTCATCTGCTATTATTGTTGTACTGCTAATTGTAGTCAGTTTTTACAATTATCTAATACGCTTGCGTGAAACAAGGGAAGCTCGACCCCCCTCGAAAAAATTATATGTGGAACTTATGAATGGTCAGTTGAAAGGTTAGAAATTAACTTCCATATGGTCATTGGTTTAACTATCCGACTTGTTTACTCTATAGAAGTTAAAGAAGAGACCAAGCGATTGGGAACATCTTATGAAAGTTTAATTAGAAAGCACAAGATTAATGCCATAGCCTTAAACCAACAAATTAAGGAATTGCAAGAAGAAGTAGACAAATGGAAGGTAAGAAAAGCGTTAACCTCTTTTCAATAAACAAATGGTTATTTTTCTTCTCCTGTACAGAAACAGAACATTATAAATCGAAAAAAAATTATCTCGAACAGCACATCAGAAATAGAAGAGGAATCAAATTCTTCAACTATGGTCCGATTTGTGGCGAACGATTTATCAGAAAATGAAACGACTCAATTTGCTGACCGGGGTCAAGATAATGATAACCAATTCAAAAATTTGTAAGTTAACGATACAAACGTAAACTGCACGGTAAACAGGTGTAGGGATGCGTACAGGATTTCATTGGTGCTAAATATTAGATATCTTAGTATTATATTTTTTACGTTTTAACAATTTAATGAATTTATCTTGTGTCCAAACTTCGATATTTTCCCGCAATAATGATAACATAACAATTTCCAGTTTTTTCGCTGTTCAGCTGATGTAATTAATAAAATAATGTAAAATAATGGAATGGCCAACAAAGTAATAAAAATAAAAAAGAATATTGATTTTCTTGCCCTTGCATAAACAACTGCAAATTACAGAATGTAGTCAACATTCACTCTCAAAGCTTTCTCGCGGTTAAAGCACCATTACAGCACCAAAGTATACCGGCCGAAAATTCAGAATTGGTATTGCGGGCACTAGTACTGTGAGTGTTTTGCATTTAATTGAAAAAAAATTGGATTTTGATTATCTTTTAAGAAGCCTTTCCGCAAGGATTGACGCAGGACCTCTTAATTGGCTCTTTTGTCATTTTTTGTGAAGCATATTTTTTTCTAATACGTAAATATGCAATTAACGGCTTTCTCGAGTATAATTAGTCTTCTACCTTTCTCTCCTTGCCAAGGAATTTGCCAGGAGAGGGTTTTCTTTGAAGCTAATATATATAAACGGTATATAAAAGGTATAAAAAAAAAAACTTATAAAAATAAATGTGGTCGAGTTACATGGTAGATATTAAAAATACGTAATCTGCATATTTTGCTATGTAAATTGCGAAGCATTTAAGTTAGCTGTCATCTTCTGAACTTGTACTTTCATTTTCAAATTGCTGCTTGATATTCCTTGATATGTTCGGCTGTTAAGATCTTACAAATCTCTGCTTTAACTTTATCGCCGTTTTTAATTGGTATCACTAGAATGAAATCGCATCGTTTAACCCAAACGTTTTTTCTGAATTTTGTGAGCATACTTACTTCAACAAACATTACCAAACAATAAAAAAAAATCTTCATGTATGATATTAGAATTTGTTCCATTTAGCCAAAAAATTCTCAGTTTCCGTACCAGCTGTTTCAACTTCGTGGAGATAGTTACCTCGACTAGCAATAATTCGTACTATTTGTTGACCATCTTTTGGATCTTGGACCATTTCCTTCATTTTATAATATTTTGCCGGCTGAGCCCTAGAAAGTAATGATAATCAATAAAAAAAAAATTTCTTTCTTAGCACAAATTGTTTAGGTGTAATATACTTATTAAAAAATGATTATAATAACAATCGATGTATAAACGATTAAGATGTAAACGAAGAACACTTAAACCATTACTGAAATTTCAAACATGAGTTTAAAATTGAATTTGATTAACAACTTGCACACAATTGGCAGGAAAGAGACCGTAACGATTTTTGCACAAACATGGTATGGAAATTCGTTTGAAAAATATATGAAATTGTTTAAAATTCAAAACTAGGTATGGATAAAACATGCGAAAAACATATGAATTCAAAAGGAGGTATGAAAGAAATCTACGAAAAACATATGAATTCGAAAGGTGGTAGGAAAGCAACATTCGAAATTGTTTACAATTCAAACGGCAATTATTTGTAGACTTTTTTTAACCCAAGGCAAGTAAAGAAACATTACACCATCACCATCTTGTTAAACAGCGTTTAAATCATTTTCGTAACAATGCAACAGAAGAGCATTGTTTTCAAATTGGGCCATTTTATTGCAAGTGGTTCGATCAGCACCATTTTAAATAGCAAGCATTTTTGGCCTAAAACACATTGGTGTGCTAATTTTCCTCACCTAAATCAAAAATTATCACCTGTAGGTTCAATATAAAACTGGGTGACCAGACTAACAGGTGGACATGCTTAAATCTACTCAGAATCTTAGGCTGTTCAACAATAGCATGTCTGAAGCTTCCTTCTAGGCGTTGCAAACTCTGAAGAAATGGATATGTCTTTCGGTGATGGGTATAAAAATTGTTACAAAAAAATTTTAATTCTATATTTCGCGTATACACACGCAGTAGCTCGGTCGTGAGCGGAAATTTTGATACGGCTGAAGAATTTATGAGCAATTGTAGGACAGTTGTGAAGGATTAGTAAATGCGTATCTGAGTCGCCCAAATTATAAGCACATCTGGCGTTTGCAAAAAGCTATGGGACAAACACAACCAAGGCATTGGCAACATTAAAAAATTCTGTTCGTCATAAATTAGAAAATTAAATTTTACAAAATTAAGGCAATCGTGACGTTTAATTTATTTGTATGGGGACTGGGGATAGCTTTCAAGATCACAGCGATTTATGTGTTTTTGAGATTGCAACAACAATTGTTGGATAAGATTATGTGCCCATTCTTAAGATGGGAAAATGGTTTTTTCTAAAATAGATTTAGCTCAAAAGCATAAACAACCTCATAAAAATCCTCGTGAAATATTAAATGAATTGAAAGAAACCGATAAAAAGATCAATGAGCTTAACGAGCAGGGCGATATCGCTAAACAAATAGGTAAGTTTTCCACTAAAACGGTAAGAAATTCCAGAAAGACCCGCCTAATTATAAAATAAAGGTGTCAGTCCTTTAGAAGAGAAGGTAACTGTTTCCTCAAATACTCATCATCAGTTATACTTTCAGGAGGCAGGCCTTCCACACAAGCACGAAACGACAACTGTTTACGTACGCATTCCAAGTCCTCGCGGTTCAGCTGCTTTACATGACTCAAAGAAGGAGAAGAATTAGTGCACAGAGAATAAACATTAGAGCTCTTTTTGACACCCGCTTGAGCATGTACGCTTACAATTTATCAAATACGATCACATCAAATATATGCGTTGGTTTGTATTAACATTACGTCCAAAAAAGCTTACAGGTTGCGTACAGTTACGCATATCCCATTGCAATACATTACTATCTCTTGGAGCACCGCTAAATAAATACCAATTGCTACGATTTGTTAGAAAATAACGCAACCATGTAATACCGAAGTAAGACACTGTTTGCTTCACTGCGATGTTACTGCATTTACGTCCAGGGCTACAGTGGATATTGCATCTTAGTTTTATAAAAGAGAGTATTGAGTATTTTAACACATACATGTTAGTATCAAAAATTTTAATGGGTTTTTATAATCACCCATAACTTTCTGGCCAACACTACTGAAAAGAAGAGAAATGGCGAGCTGAACTTCGTCAAGTACGTCATATCTTTGATATGTACACCGCAGTTCGCCCGTGTACCCCCTGGGTCACCTACATATGAATCGGCTCATGTTGACGACTCGCTAGCCAACTGTTTTGTATAAATAAATGGCAATTATTTAATCAACTTAACAGTTTCCCAATTTACCAGCAAGTGGCAGAACCGGAGCTATGAATGATCACTTTATTTTTTTATCTTTAAGAGGTTCGCATTTTAAGAAAGATTGTTTTTTCTCTTTCTTTCTCTGTCTCTCTCTTGCTTTAGAATATTTACTGTGCAATTGTATATAAAAAAATTTTAGTCATTTAAAAGAATATTTTTTGAATTAATTAATTGATAATTGAAGCAACTTTATTAAAGTGTACGAATGAATGTGTATCTGCTTACATAAACTTATTTAAAAAAAAGAATGAAATGAATTCAATAAAAAAAATAGTGTCAATTGCAATTGAGAATTTTTTTTAAGGATTTTTTTCTTTAAATCCAATTATGTTAAGTTTTGTTTTAGTACTGTCTTTATTTTTAGTTAATCTAGTTCCGATCGTTTTATATATTCCTCTTACAATTAATGAATTGACAACGGGATCGAAAAAGAGTTCAGACCGTTCGACCGAAACGAAGCAATTTGCACCGATCTAAAAATTGACGATTTTCTACGGCGGAAGAATGCTTTCTACGACTGCTTCTGGGATACACGATAAAGCAGTACATCCGCGAGCAAGTAGAATAGCACGACTGCTTCGCATACCTTATGACGATTTCGAATTTAAGCATTTTTTGTCTTTTTTTGTCTGTTTTAATACTATAAAAATTTATTTAAAAAATAATAGCGGGATAATAAATAAATATTTTCAATTTAATAATAAAAACTCCTATATCGTCTTGTTAGAAGAAAAATTAGGAAATTAAATTTCTTAATTGCCAAAGAACAATGTTTATCTATAAATTAAATCAATAGTCACCGTAACCGTCATTTGTCATTAATTAATAAATTCTTAACGGAAAAAAAAACTTTGCACATTTCGATATACTTCGCAAATAGGTTAGAAGTTACTTCATAAAATAGGCTAAATGACAAAATTAAAACCAATTCATATATATGTTTATGATACAAATTCAAATTCCTATAAACAGAAGCGTTACAATTATTATTTTCTATCTTTTCCTACTCTGCGCTCTACTAAGTACCTTAAAACAAAGTTCAAAAAAGTAAAAAAAAAACCTTAAAACTTAACAAAAACTCCCTACTCTTGTGCTTGTTTAATATTTAATGTACAGTTAATCTAGCAAGAAAACAAAAAAAAAAAGACGAATTCGATATATGAAAATAAATAAGAGATAGTACAGAACAAATGTAGTGAGCGCAGCAATTTGTTACTAGGAATTCAACGTTTCCTTAAATTGAAGTTTACACAAACAAAACAATAACGGAATAAATGCTCCGGTGTGTCCGGTGCAGTAAATTATACCTTGCCGCCGTAAATGCTAAACAGAAGGGAATTTATTTGAGATGCTTTGAATCAAATAAGTTAATCGATGTAACAAAAACAGGTTTTCAATATGACATAGAGTTGGCTACCGAAGATTTATCAAATGATAGTAACCAACTTAGTGAGCCATCAAACCCATGAGACAATGTGTGTTACCAATTTATATATTACAGTTTTACAATAAAGACGATAAACTTA